AGAGACATGGTCTCACTTCTTGCTCAGGCTGGTCTCGAACTCCTAAGCTCAAGCAATTTCCACTTTGCCCTCCCAGAGTGCTGGATTACAGCGCGTGAGCCACTGCACCTGGCCCGAATTACTAATTTATTTAATTATAAATTATCCTCATGGGAGACCCAGGAGCCCATTCATAAGTATGGAATGCTGTAAGCAGGGTCCGTCTGTAACCTGGGCCCCTCCCTGTATTTCAAAATACTAAAACAGAGGATTCTGAACATTCTCTTTTATTTTTTTTATTTCTTTTGAGACAGAGTCTCGCTTTATTGCCCAGGCTTAGAGTGAGTAGTGCCATGGCATCATCTGGCTCACAGCAACCTCAAACTCCTGGGCTCAAGCATCCTGCTGCCTCAGCCTCCCCAAGTAGCTGGACTACAGTCATCGCGCCACCATGCCTGGCTAATTTTTTCTATATATATATATTCGTTGGCCAACTTAATTTCTTTCTATTTAAAGTAGAGATGGGGTCTCACTCTTGCTCAGGCTGGTTTCAAACTCCTGACCTTGAGCAATCCTCGGCCTCCCAGAGTGCTAGGATTACAGGTGTGAGCCACCACGCCAGGCCTGAACATTCTCATCACAAAGAAAGAAATATTTGAGGTGATGGATAAGCTAATTACCCTAATTTGATCATTACACAACATTTACATGTATCAAAACATCACACTGGGCCAGGTGCGGTGGCTCACTGAGCCAGTAATCCTAGCACTCTGGGAGGCTGAGGCCAGAGGATTGCTCAAGGTAAGGAGTTTGAAACCAGCCTAAGCAACAGCAAGACCCTGTGTCTACTAAAAATAGAAAGAAATTCATTGGCCAATTAAAATTATATAGAAAAAATTAGCCAGGCATGGTAGCACATGCCTGTAGTCCCAGCTACTAGGGAGGATGAGGCAGGATTGCTTGAGCCCAGGAGTTTGAGGTTGCTGTGAGCTAGGCTGACGCCATGGCACTCTAGCCTGGGGCAACAGAGTAAACTCTGTCTCAAAAAAAAAAAAAGAAGAACAAAAAAGGGGAAAAAAAATCATAAAAAAA